AAAAATCAATCACCGCCTGTGGAGTTGAGATAAATCGAGAATGGAAAATGTAGCTTACTAAGTGGTTATTGATACCTTTCATATTTGTCGTTGGTACTTTTAAAGTCATGTTGTCCACGACTTTATTTATAACTCAACAACCATGTCAAATTTTGTTACTTATTTTACCGACAAAATTTTGAGACATACTCGAATCAATTTCAAAGAAGAAATATAAGTGAAACGTTTTAAATGTAAATTTAGCCTATTTTAGGGGGTCAAATTTCCTTCTCATTTCACATCATGGCATGTTATTTCACTTTTTTCAAGTTTTCATTTTTGGGTTTTTACATATAGTGAATTCCACTTTTTAGAAAATTACTAAATAGAAAAATTAGATAATAAATTCTAACAGATAGTAAAGTTTTTTTTTTTTTAATTGAAAATGCCACATCAAAATGTCTTCTTAATGGCCATAGGGTACATAGAGTGGGTTAAGCCCTAGTCTTAGTCTATATTAATTAAATTTTATATAATGATATATAGGGTAAAGGTTAATTATTGAGAATTATTGAAAATCTTTTGGAAATGATAATGAGTGACAAAAATCGATAGTCATAGTTTTGCAATTTTTTTACAAGAAAAAATAATTTGCAAAAATGTACATACTTTTCCTCTGATGAACTTTTTTGGGGGTAAACATACTCGAGACACGTGGAGGACCCTTGTTAGTATTTGAAGAAACCAAATAAAAAAGATTGCTTAGGTCCACCTCGGCCCCGCCGAGGAGACCGGGCTCGCCCGTTATAAAAGACTAAGTATGGGCACCAAGGTTCAACCTGACTGGGGTCCGACCTGCTCGGAACCCGACAGGCCCGATATGAGAAAAGACCGCCGGTCGTGTGTACTGTCGGATCCATCACCTATAAATAGAGGACTTCATTTCACGTTCAGGTATCGAATCTCACCTCAAACTAAATAAGGAGTCCGATCTATACTGACTTGAGCATCGGAGTGCTTACCTTCTTGTGCAGGTCCACTCTAGTGTTCAGGTCAGAACCGGAGACTGGGTTCGAGCTCGATTCGTGAAGAACCGTTGTGCAAATTCCTGCATAAACATTTGGCGCCGTCTGTGGGAAAGGACATCCTAAGTCATCTCGATCTAGAAAATATACGCAACGATAGTGCATCCGGCAAGCTCTGCTAATACGACAGAACGGAGGGGTGTGAACGCTGATAATGGCACTCAGCGAGACCTCGACGCAAGAATAGTCGAGGACCAGGTCCGAGTAGGGCAAGAGGGAGATCTGCCACGTAGATCTGCCCGCCATGCGAACCAAGAGTTACCCCCTGCTCATCCGAAACCCTCAAAGGCCAACCGAGGCCGAGGAGGGACCTCAAGAAAGACCTCCCAAAGGGCCAACCAAGCACAGGCCCTGAAGATTTGTCTACTCTCCAGCGCGAGTTGGATGATATGTGCCATCGGTTGCGCACAATGGAAGAAATGTACGCCGAGGCAACGCGTGCTAACCGAACTGCGTTTCCCTCTAGGGTCCAAGGCGCACCCGGTGAAAAGGGAGCTCCATCTATCCAACCTGGTGATCGCGAGCCTATTCCTAACAATGAAGGGGTGGATTATAGCTTGCGAGACAATGATCTTAGAAAGCACCTCACTGATAAGAAGAAGAAAGCCTCTCGGGAGCCGGAAGACTCTCCGTCCTACTCTCGAGAGTTCTCCAACTCTGACCTTAAGGCTCAGTCAAAGTATAAACCCCTAACACCAGAAGCTGTGATCACCAGGGAAGAGTTCGACCTGATGAAGCACAGGTTCGATGAGCAGATCGAGGCACTCAAAGCTAGGTGCGAGAAGAAGGAAAGCTCGCTTGACGATGGCGACTTGGGAGAATCGCCATTCACTTCGGATATTATGGAGGCTCCAATCCCTCCAAAGTTCAAGACTTTCTCTATGAAGCCCTATGATGGGTCTAAGGACCCTAAAGACTACGTTGAGGTCTTCGAAGGCCTCATGGACTTTCAAGCGGCAACAGATGCAATTAAACGTCGTGCCTCCCAGTCGCGCTTACCGGCAGCGCGCGCCTGTGGTATCGAAGGCTGCCGGCTAGGTCGATCTCGACCTACTCTCAGCTGAGAAAAGAATTTATTAGCCAGTTTTCTTCTCGACATTATAACAGAAAGACAGCGACTCATCTCGCCACTATCAGACAGAAGGAAGGAGAGACGCTGAGAGAGTATGTCACGAGGTTCCAAGACGAGCAGTTGAAGGTCGCGCACTGCTCCGATGATTCGGCCATGTGCTATTTCCTCACCGGCCTGGCCGATGAGACCCTCACCATTAAGCTCGGAGAGGAGGCTCCAGCAACCTTCGCTGAAGTCCTGCAGAAGGCGAAGAAGGTCATTGATGGACAGGAGCTCCTTCGAACCAAAACTGGCCGACCTGAGAAGCAGATCGACCAGAAGAAATTGAACCAGGAGAAGAGGAGGACAGATGTCAAGTCCAAGGATAAGGGATCATCTGCCTCCAGTAGCCGAACTGAGTATCGCAGGTCAGACGGTGGCCCCAACCGAAGCCGACCTTACGAACGTTATACCCCGACCACCATCCCAATCTCTGAAATACTTACAAACATTGAGGAGACTGGGATGGAAAAACTCCTCAAGTGACCCGAGAAGCTCCGGGGAGACCCAGAAAAACGTAACAAAGACAAGTACTGCCGTTTTCATCGCGATCACGACCACAATACGTCAAGTTGCTGGGAATTGAAGCGCCAGATTGAAGACCTCATTCAAGACGGCAACTTCAAAAAATTTGTGGGCAAACCGAGGTCTAACTCAGTTGAAAAGAAAGAAGAGAGGAAGCGTTCAAGAACGCCGCCTCGCCGGGATGACCGACCTGCGGTCATCAACACTATTTTTGGGGGCCCGAGTGGGGGCCAGTCCGGAAACAAAAGGAAAGAGTTAGCTCGCGAGGCCAGACGCGAGGTATGTATCATCAGGGAGCAGAAGCCCACTTGCTCCATCACTTTCGA